AAATCTGATACTCATTATCAAGTCCTTCCTTGAAAATAGAACTTGCACCGTTGGAGTTGGAAATGCAACTTCATGAGTCAAAAATATTTACGCAGGTATTCCTCAAGGGTCAATTTTAGGCCCGCTTTTTTACATCATCTGTACCAACGATTTCCCTTGCTTTTCCGAGGATACAAATGTTCTCGCAGCCAGCTACGCTGATGATGCAGCGATAGCCACCAAGTCTCTAAACCCAGAGTATGCCTTGTCAAGAATTCAGGCCAAAACCCCTGCTATTGAGGGGTGGTGCAGTCGCTGGAAAACGTGCATTCAGCCAGAAAAGTCCAAGATTCTACTCATTCGAAATCGCAGACAGAGGAAACGGGTCAGAACTGAGGTTAAACGTTTTGGCAAAATCATCCCTACAGTTGATAAAGCTAATTACCTGGGAGTTACCCTTAACAAGAACTACAATTAGAAGGATCACATGCTTAGAGTAAGCGGAAAAGCACACGGGATCATTTTCAGGCTTTTCCCTCTCCTAAAGAATGAAAACCTCACCCTCAGACTGAAAAAGAGGATTTATGAAACTGTAATCCGACCCATTCTCACGTATGCTTCGCCAGCCTGGGCAAACTACAAAGCAAACGAAATTAGCAAACTCCAAGTGCTTCAAAATAAGGTGCTAAGAATCATCACAAAAGCTCCTTACTATGTTCGGAATAGGACTCTCCACTCCGACTTGAAAATAGATACTATTCAAGACTACCTCAGCAGAATAAACAACAACTTTTTTAATAATATTATCAATGTGAATCCCGCTAATTTCACGGACATTCTTATCTACGAAATCCTGGTTGAAGACAAAAACCTCCGCCCATTTGCCGCCCACCTCTTGAGTTCAGAATTCTAAGTTCCAGTTTTCTGGTTTTCAAGCAGCATCGATCGGGGTCAGTTTCTGGGAGGGTGACCTCCTACGTGACTGGCTCCGACGAATGAACAGTTAGTATTCGGGCTATCCTACACAGGTCATCCGAAGTTTCTTTCTCCGGTCCCTGCTTGGCGGATTCCATCCAAGATGTAGCAGTACAGGAGCAAAGTGCTTCTTTTTCTCTTTTTCTCTATCCAGCACACTTCTACCTCCACGAGAGAAATTTCTTTCAGGTTTCTACTCTATCAGGCCCCACATGGGATCACATCAGGAACTGGCAAGAGCAGGACTTTAATTTCCTGCTGAAAGCCAGTATAACCGCAAAGTTCCAAAATTCCAAAGTTAATGCAATTCAATAGCACGATCATGTATTAGAAAAATTGTTAACCATAAAGATTATTTTTCACGGCACTTGAGAATTTCTTATAAACCGTCACTGCTTGCAACTCTTATCGTGAAACTGACAAAGAAACTCTCGTTTGACCTCCGTTAGATTAACATCTGACTGGATGTCTATGCTACAAAATCAGAAACGCATACAGTGGGCTGGACTAAGGGTTAAACTGTAGATGCAGTAAAACCTTAACGAACGTGGATTAGCAGAGTACGATTTTACATGTAAGCATTATTTTAATTGTTTCCTTTAATTTATCCAACGATTGGTTTTAATTTATATACAACACGCTGCAGAGCATCGGCCGCGTTGCCATTTACACTGCGTCTAGGATTTTCGTTGTTGTTGCTTATACTCACTAATCTGACGTAGTCATCCCAAGCCCACGAAATTCCTCGTGGCAAGGAGCGCTAGAAAACGCCTGCCCTTGGCAACAGCCTTGAGCAGGTGACAGTGCGATTTAGCTCACTTCGCCACCCCCAATTTTGATGGAAAGCATGTTGGAGGGACGGGTCCGACGGTCTCGCAACCTTCTCCCCTTCCATCAAACCACACGAGAGCACTTTCGGCTGGCCACATATTTAGAATGCCGCCATGCCGTACCGACACTATACATTTACAAATAACCATGTCTTCTCTGGGATTCGAACCCAGGCCCTTCGGCACGGCAGTTAGCGAAGCTAAACCACTATACGGTTGGGCGACCTAGGATTTTTAATTGAGACTAATTATAGTTAATCCGTTTTCCTATTAAATGGCAACAGCTGTAGTATAAAGGATTTGAACATAACTTTTTCTTCGGAAAGAAGTCGAATACAGGTCTCAACATTAAACGAACATTTAACCTTGAAAGTGAATTTCAAATATCCGTGTAATGATCTATATGCTATATCTATGTAGCGATCTATATGCTCAATATGGGCATATAAAATCCAACAAAGTTTCTAAGGAAAATATTAGTTAATGAAAAATACGCAAATGAGGAAAAAACAAGAATCGCAACCATCCGCATCATTTTCAATGTAGATATGCATCGAAAACTAAGCAATTTATTTTTCAGTATCTTTAATATTTTAAGTTAAAATATCTTTTTTTTTATAACATTCGCTTATTCATTCAAAACCAACTTTCACCCGAACATCTTCATACCAAACTGCATCTGCTACATGTGCGTTATACAGATATAGCGCACACGTAGCACACTTTTTAATTCCTGAAATAAACTTCTTCACGCTGTGTTCTACACCGAGGGTCCCTAGCAATGGCTAAGTGGTTAATACAGCTTTATAATGGTAGTTCGGCCTGCTTTGGGTTCGAACTTAGGCGAACAGGCTGGTATAATGGTTGATTTTTGTCGTTTTTACTGTGCGTAATGTGAATAACAGAAAGTCATCACTAGGCAAACAGTCCTCATGGCTTTTCCATATTCAAACAACCTAACCCAGAAATAGCCATCCACAGAATTTTCGGAGAACTGGAGACAAATCAGAGCGAGAACTGTAGACACATCAATAAATAAAATGTTTAAATTAGGAGATGGCTCACAAGTAGGTTTTAGGTTACAGCAATTGCATAAATTAAAAATGAGACTGAGCAATAAATATTAAGGCATTATTTAAATTAAATATTAATATCCCTCGTGTTACTCTTATTAACGTTCTTATCAAATAATAGCACGAAAATTATTATGCAGGTTAATTTCTCAGAGAGGGAAAATTATTATGAAATAATAGACCACACGCACTGATTCTGTCCAGCATCTTTCTTACATCAGATGCTTCCCTCCAAACATTTTTCATCAACTAGAAGAGAACAAAGCCGCGATTTTTGATGATGATGATGTAATGTACGAGGGCAATCCAAAAAAAAAAAAAGGTCTCCTATTTTTTGGGGACGTAGAGAAAGTTTTAATACGGTTGTTGGCAACACTGTTGTGAGTGGTGCTTTCTCCACTACCACATAAGCACACAGGCGCTTCGCTCGGATGCTCAGTCTTGGCTTGGCAGCCATTCGAAATAGAGCTCCCGATAAACGTTACCGCCAAGTGCGAAGTGGGCGCAGTTATTCGATTTTTGAATGCAAAAGGCGTAAACTGGTTGAAAGAGTGTATGGACAGTCGTGCAGGGATGTCAAAAAAGTTCGCAAGTGGTGTAGAGAGTTTACAGCCAGTCGTACTGAAATTCATAACGAAGAAAGGAGCGGGAGGCCGTCAATTGCCGATGATACAATCGCGAAAGTTAAGGAACTTGTGGGTAAAAATCGGAGGATCTCTCTGGATGCTGTCTGCATTTTGGTTCCTGAGGTTTTCAGAAGCACCATCCACAGGATTTTAACGGAAAAGTTGCAATATCGGAAGGTGTGTGCAAGATGGGTGCCGCGTATGTTGACAGAAGACCACAAACAACAACGGGTTTATTCTTTCCGCGAATTTCTTCGCCGCTATGGAGACGTAAACGACAACTTCTTGGACTTCTTGGAAAGATGAGGGTCAACACTTCCTGAAGGGCATGGCGGCAAGCTGGTATGACATGGGCATTGTAAAACTGCCACAGCGTCTACAAAAATGCATCGATTGAAATGACGATTATATTGAAAAATAAAGCATTCTTCAATCTTTAAAGAGATGTAGCAATTATAGAAAATAAATGTTTCTTTGTATATCTAAAAATATAGGAGACCTTTTTTTGGGGGATAGCCCTCGTACCTCAAGTTTTTGATAGCAACATCAGTAGAAGTCCACGATTTTATCTTAGCCGAGAAGGGGTGACTGCGTCTGTCGTTGGCATGGGCCTTAGGTGACTGTATGACTAGCACAATTCAGCTCCGTGTCAGTTTTGAAGAAGAAGACCCGAAGGACGGATCCAAGCGTTTTCAACCGAATCTCTGAAGAGGGATTGCGGCTCGCCGTGTACTCTAAGCGCTCCCATGCAGCGAAGATGCTAAATACTTTTAAATATTTAAGTCTTCTTTGGCATGCAGATCTATAATTTCACGATTGGTCAGACAGCTTCGCTAACAACTACTACACTGATCAATTTCAGCAATTTGAAATGAAAACCACCAGCAGAAGGAAAGAAAAAGGTCTGAGGTGGCAACTTTTGTTGACACCTGCAAAAGGTTTGATGTGGAACAACATGCATGTTCCGGTTACTCGTTCCTAAAATACAGTAACCCAATGTATGTTGGGATTTAATAAGTTGCCTTTATCTTTTATGTAGACAGAATTGGAAGCTCTGTAATATTTTTTACTTGGCGTGAATTCAAACGTTTTGGAATTCATTTACCCTCTCCATCGTGGCAATGGCAGATGGAAAGTTGCTCGGCAATTTCGACCACTATGATGAGTAATTTTAAACACCAGAATAGCATATCACACACAATGGCTAAATTTAATTGTTAGGTTATTGTCATTCATGTTATCAATCTGATAACTGCATATAATTATTATAACTATGTATCAGGTAAGTGCCATCAAAGGTAAATACTTTTTATTCTCACATTTATATAATTATCATTAAATATAATCATTTATGAATATCTTTATTCAGTAATACATACAACTTAAAGCAATCATATTAATAGTTTAGTATAATAATCAGACATTTTAACTGAAAAAAATAATTGTTATTTATGATTATTATTTTAAATAGCTCTAAGCGACGCTCACTGAAAAATGCAACCCGACTTATTACCTACCTTTATGTCATGATAATCAATGCTTGCATTTTCATTCTCTGATTCCAAGTCTTTGCAAACTCTGAACATTTTACCAAGTGCTTTTTTTGATTTATAAGTCTCTTTGTGGTTTTTTTCCATGAAATCTGGAAATTTCAGCGGCCTCTCGAACTTTCCTAAATGGGCAGTTCTCCCGTGCTTTGCAAAATCCACAGCGATATGGAACTTTTTCGCAATCTTAATACATTCATTTGAGAAAATACTACCTCTGTCAGCATGAGCAAGGTGTGCATTAGCTATTATTCCAACTTGGTCATTCTTGATATATTTTACTAAGAAAGTGACCATATCTTTCACCTAGGGGATAAGCACACTTTTATTACTAGGATAAATTTATGATTAAATACCATAATTTAATGATTAATTAATTCGTTTATCTACCTGCAAAACATCAATGTAATTATAACAAAAATAAATTTTATATGTAGGATGTCATAAATATGGAACCTTATAAAAATCACATATAATCAACAAAGGCGTATCAGAGTAAGCTTTGCACATCTTATCAGAGAGGAGAATTTTTTCTTGACGCAAGAATAAATTTTACTTCAAATTTTTACCAACAGAGTGTTTGCACACTAAGAAAGAATGGAAAAAAGCAGCTACGCGTTTACACAACATTTATTTGTTTGCATCAGAAAGTATATCACAAATTTGCTAAAAATAATACGATAATTACAGATGTTCTTCTAAAGAATTCATATTTATATTTCTTTGTATAGTAACAGTACAGCACGAATTACAGGAAGTATTGTTTACAAAATTTATGTTTTGCATACAGAAAAATGTTTCTTTATCAACACACAACATTTCGCAAAGCAGTTAATCTATTTAATGCCAAGCCTGTAATCATCGATAAGCGTAATACAAAAGTTACCATACTCGTTAGTATTCGATAACTAAATAATACACAAAAAGTTGTTTAGATATATCTCCGTGAGTCATTTCTCAAGCTTGTATTCATACTCGTGCGGTGATGAAAGCAAATAATAATGCATAATGATGCCCCGGTCCACGTGAGAGAAATACTAAATTATTCAGTAGGTAAAATCAACGATGCTTCGATGTAGATTGTTTCGGTTTGAGATGCATGTGAAACTAACAGGTGGGAGCCAAATTATTGATCGTACGAATTTATGCTAATAAATGATTGTTTATTCAATATGGAGTTACTTAGTCTCGAAGGGAAATTAAGAATAGAGACTTTTCACATATTCTATTATGAAAAAAATATAAAACGCGCATATATAACGCATTAAAAAAATTTCTTTAAAAAATTGGGGGGGGGGGTCGTTAGTGCTCCGGAATTTAGATCATTCCAGATATTGAACGTTTTCGAACTTCGTACTGTATTTATGAAGAAAAGTTTAAATGATTAAATGATAAAAATTGCACATTAAAAACACAAAAACACACGGTACTTTTCCGTTTTGCCGGCGCAATTTCCCATTTCACCAGCGCAAGCGATAAAGTCGCCAAATAATGGCACAACCGATGCCAAACGAATATCTTTCGCTGATAACCTTTCACGACTGGTAAGCCTCATTTTCAAAATCAAGTCGCTAAGCTTTTTCTTATCAGATTGATCGTTTGTTTCAATATTGGCATACAGCTACATAGAATTTTTATCAGATATAGTTCAGTTTTATGTCTAAGGCCATTTCGGTAATTAAGTCAATTAGGATGCAATCACAGCGCTTACCCGAAGCCGAAAATATAGAAAAGGTAAAGTCAAGGGTTAAATTCATCAATTCTAACGAGAATGCATTAGTGAAGTAAAGCACTGCAGTTTTACATAATTTCTGAGTAAGCTATTCGTACGAATTGAAATATTTCTTGCATTTAAACTTGTGTTCCAAATTAAGATTTAACTCGAAATTAATGTAGATAATTACTGAGAGCATTAGATTTCGTGAGATGAGATCGCTTGGGGTCACGTGATATAAACCGGCGAATCAGGATGTTGAACCATGAAAGCATAGTAAATTCTTAAATTAATGTCTTTTTACAAATTTATTGTCTTTATTTATTGGCTTTTTATAAAATTTTAAGCGATATTAAAATGTTTATGTCTTCAAAAAAGAATTCTTAGAACTAAAATTTTTTTAATATTTTTTATGTGTATACTGTATGTTGTCGCAAATAAAGTCTACTTGGCGAGATTTGCGCCGGCGAAACGGAAAAGTACCAAACGCACAATTACTTATGCTTTTCATAGGATTTACCAATTTCAATAATTTTTGTTTACACGAAATACTTTCCTATTAACCATAAATCAGAGAAGATTCTAAATTATATGTTGAAAAAACTAGGGGCAAAATTACGAAGGGAATAAATATGAGAATAATACAGTATATATGTAAATACCAAAATCGATTATAATTGATTGAGGCTATCCTGTATTTATAATAGTCCCGCTATGTCTTATCACTGTTTGTTTTATCTTTTTATCATTGTTTCTTGTTTTGGATCTACCACTGCAAGAATGCATTTCTAAACTGTAAAATTCACGTAAGTTACAACACGAAAATTATTTCTCTATGTTTGGAAGTAATGAATGTTCATACATTTTAGGTAAGTATATCTTTAATACAAAACGTACAACAATAGTTTGTTTTGTATGATTTCAAACTGCATCATACATATTTGATTATGAAATTTCTAAAAAGGGTGAATAAATAGGTATCCCTTTTAAATCACTTACGGTTATATTAAAAATATCTGGTTCTCGAAAATTCTCGAAATTTCCAGGTGCTGCATTCTTGCGATGAAAAATTAAATCTGGTAACCATAAAACTGCGTATTCATCTCCATCTAAATCTGAACCTGTAACATGAAAACTAAATATACTTAATTACTCTTTTCTTACACATCAGAAAATATCAAATTTGAAAATGCTTGAGGATAAACACAACATATTTTAATGGTTATTTATTCGTAAACCAACATTATCTCTTGTAAGGTCAACAAATATCCAGATATCTAGATTCCTCGAAGAATCACTTCAAATTTAGAATACACTGAGATAACAAATATTAGTCAGTATACACTGTTAATTTAAGAAATTATGTCCTCTTTAAATAATAAAATTAAACAACATAACTAAGGCCAAGATTAAAATTTAAGTTTCGAATTAGCACACACACAAACAGAATAATAAAACGAGTATGTTTATGCACAACTTCATTGTGAATATAGACAGTAATACAACAAAAGTATTCGAAATTATTTAATTTCAGAATTCTGGCATTTTATCAAGCTCCTACACCATAGGGTCATAATAATGGTAACGGTAATATTAAGACATGTGTAATATGATGGGAAAACAGTAAATATTTAATGAATATCCTTTTTTCACCTCAAAGGGGGAATAATGTTTTAACATCTAAAATCACATTTGGACTAAATAAAAGACAAAATACATAAATTCCTTTTCCATAATAAGCATAACGTTTTCCTAGATATAATTTAGGGATAGAAAGAACATTTGAACTCGTTCGTATTTTAAAAATTGATTTAAGTTCAAGAACTCCAAAATGCACCATGAATATTTGTCCCATTTAAAAACATCTTAGTAATTGGACGTATATGTCTAAGAATATGAATTACCAAAATAAAGTAAGGATTTTTGTGGACATGGTAAATTTTTAATAATCTAGATGACAGTGACATGTAATTGCATAAAGCACCTGCCAATTTTCAGGGACCAATTTGAAATTTATTTTTTTCTTCTTCTGTAAAAGCCCTTTTTGGGGCCAATTTTATATTTATTTTTATTCTTGAAAAGCAGATTCTTAATACGAATAAATAGCGCAATGGATGGAATTTGCCCCTGAATGAAAACAGCATTCTTAAAATGAAATTTACATTTTGAGGATGTTGCAGTAAGGAAAGTAGTAACAGTAGTCTAGACAGACAGGGAAGCAAAGAGCGAGTGTGAAGTGTTCAAGATGTATGTCTCGTTAAGAATGATATAGTTTACGTTCAAATTTGTTCTCATTACGTTGCGAATATGACGCAAAAACACGTAAGAAGGTATAGTTTTAGAATGACGAAGTTTAGAGCAATTTTTATAAGTGCTATTTAAGAACAGAAAAGAGAAACGGCCAAATTACCTTATATATATATATACTTACACACACATACAACCAAACTAAATCTATGCATTTTTAGCGAAACATTACCTAAAGTAGCCTGTACAATCTTCTTGTTTTCTTTCCCCTTCATACGTTTTTCCTATAAGAGCTCAACACATAGTCAATCATGAGGTGAAGATGAACACTGCTTTCCAGATATGGATCTAAGTCCATAATTTGTCTCTAGCAATGGCGAAGAGATTCTAGAATTGCTCTAAGTCCATCTCGCTTCTAGAAGTCTTTCCTTCATAGTCAAATTCATATGCTCGTTACTGATTGATGTTAACAACACCCCTACTGCCCAATTCTTTTAAGATATGAATTCAATAATTTCCGCAAATTTGCCAAATCTACTTCAATGAAGCTTTTCTCATATCCAATGACTGCAACTTTTTCAACTATTGTTATCTAATTGTTGGCTATACTCAAATATAATCAGTTACACAATGAGGCGAAAGTTCTTTATTACAGCTCTCATATTCTGTGATGCCACCTGTATGAGTCTTAAATACAAAAGATGGATTAAAAAAGGTCTCAACATGTTCTGAAATATGACACATCTAAAATATCTTTTATTACCATAAGTAAAAACACTAACAATCCAGTTTCTAAAACCTTCTGAAATTCAATTTCGGCTGACGTGCCACAGAGATGATAATCTCTAAAGCAAGGATAATCTTCTCTCCCTTTACTGTGTAAGGTTTATATTTATTTTAACTAACATTTATTTTAAGCTATCTTTCCTGTCAAGCCTTTACTTTCCCCTGGAATTGCCAATGCCAGAGTATGAGTGAGTGAGTGAGTGAGTGAGAGATTATGGCGCAAAACCAAAGATGATTATAGTGCGCCAAACACGTGATGGGGTGAGTACAATTGATGAAATTAAAATACAATAAATAAAAACAAGTAGACAAATGTATCAAATCCAGAGGATGAAGTCATATAAACACAAGTTAAAACCACACATTTAAAATTCAAGATACAATCTTTAAAACAAATTACATTAGGTGATAAAAGCCAGTTTCTTTCAAATAATAAAATAAATTACAATTGACCTCTCTTCCGATTAAACGGTCGAGAGGTAAGTCACAGCTGTTAAAATATTTCTGGCGAAGACTATTAAAACATGGACACTCAATTAAAATATGACGAACAGATAAACAAACATTACAATTCAAACAAACAGGCTCATTTTCAGCTTTGAGAAGATAGTTATGTGTGACTCTAGTGTGACCAATTCTGAGGCGAGTCAAAAGAACTTCCTCCTTACGATTTTTGGTTGATTCCCAATGCTCAATTCTAGGTTTTACATGTCTTAACTTGTTTTGAAGCTGAACATCCCAAAATTGCTGCCATTTTTTCCGGACTTTCCCCTTGATGACACAGCAGATATCTCTAAAAGGGATAAGGCGACTAGTCAGTTCATCAGCAGATTTGGCTGCAATATCTGCAAGCTCATTTCCCTTTATTCCAGCATGTCCAGGAACCCAGCAGTACAGGACTTCATATCCGCGAATCGTTAAATTTATATGAATTTTCAGGACATCTACTACCACAGGATTCTGAGTGTTGGGAAAAGCTTCCAAAGATTTAAGAGCACTATACGAGTCTGTATAAACTATGAACTTCTTGTGGCAGAGCTTCGAGATGTACAAAAGAGCATAATATATTGCAGCTAGTTCAGATGTTAGGACTGAGCAAGACTGGTGTAGGCATCTGTCCTCAATGTAATCTTCAAATACAAAAGCCATCCCGACATGATCATTTGACTTTGATCCGTCTGTGTATATCGGATAATAACTGCTATATCTGTGCCTGTGCTCAGCGAAGAGTTCTCTGTAAACGATCTCCTTAGTGCTCGCCTTCACGTGATGTTTGAAAACATCAAGGAGCTGAATCCGTGAATTTTCCCAAGGTGGAATTTCAAAATTCTGTACTGCTTGAGGGCACATATCAGAGAGGGAAAGTTCCTCAATGACAGAGCGAACTCTTAAAGGAAAAGTAGGAACACAGGATGGACGTGTTTCATATAATGTGTTACACTCATTATCGAGTAAGCACAGCTTATTGGGATGTTCAGGTTGGGATAAAATATTAAAATATTGTAAAAGGGACAATTGCTCACGCCTCAGATAAAGTGATGGTTCGTTAGAGTCAACATATAGGCTGTGTACAGGAGAAGTCTTGAAAGCTCCTGAACAAATCCGCAAACCCTGATGGTGAACAGGATCCAGTTTTAACAAAACAGTTGAGCGAGCGGATCCATAAACAGCTGAGCCATAGTCCAGTCTAGAGCGGATAAGCGCTCTGTAAATGCGAAGCATGGAGCAACGCTCTGCACCCCAGGAGGTGTTCGCCAACACTTTTAAAATATTTAGTGTTCTTAGACACTTCTTTCTCATGTTTAAAACATGAGAAAGGAAAGTCAATTTTCGGTCGAACGTCACTCCTAGAAATTTTACTTCGGGCGTAACTGGAATAATTGTACCATTCAGATATAACTCAGGCTCAGGATGGAGACCTCGCTTCCTACAAAAGTGAACACACACAGTTTTCTGTTTGGAAAAAGTAAATCCCTGTTTGTTTGACCATTCTTGGATCTTATTCAGAGCCATCTGCAATTGCCTCTGTACGTATCTCATGTCTGCTCCTCGACAGCTAATCTGCAGATCATCAACATATAGAGATCCCAAGATGGTGGGAGGAAGTTCTTTGAGTACAGAGTTTATTTTTAAACTAAACAGGGTTACACTGAGCACACAGCCTTGTGGCACACCCTCTTCCTGTTCAAAAACATCCGAAAAAACAGAGCCAATGTAAATTTTAGTAGAACGCGCAGAGTATTCAAATTTTTAGCAGAAGTAATTTTGAGTTAAAAAGAAGGGAAACGAGATTTGTAAGTGTGCTTCTTGATTCACGAGCGTGAAGGTTGCTTGGTAAAAATTTAAGAACCGCGCCTTTCGGCCTGTGTGCCTACTTCGGCAGTTAGTTTCAACTTCTTAATCAGAAAGTTTGCTGAATCTCAGCTGTATCTTAGAACGCGGTTAAGATAGTTACAATTATAGAGCCTCGTAGATAGTGACTTTGTTAGTTATTCATCCTGTCATTCATTTTTAGTTGTACTTTCCTATTTTTGTTTAACCGCAGGGTCGGCGTAGTTTGTGAGCGTCAAGTGAACGCAACTGTAATTTCTAAAGTGAAATAAAAAGGGATTAAACCCTTCTTACGAGTTTGTGTAACTTCCAGTTCATAGCAGCATAGACTCCAACCTTCAGCAAACCTTGTCATTAGTCAACGCGCGAACGACATTTTTACAACTTTGAAAATGTGCGCGTAGCGTATGTTGTAATTAACCATTCATTAATTTTAAATTAATATTAATTGTAATCAATTTTATTACATTTAAAATCCCATATACATATAAACTGAATAATTAAAAATATACCTTGTAAATTATATGCACATTTAATTAGAAATTTTCTTTTAACTCCTCAAGCATTCACTAATAAAAGTACTTCAAATCACTACTAATCATAGAAAAAATCAGAAGCTATAAATCATATCTTTATTCTGGATATGATTTCTACAGGGAAATAAAATTTAAATAACCAAGAATGATACTATAAGTATTAAACAAAATACGCATAATTTATGAATGCAAAGATTTATATGTAGCATGCTTAGCAAGCTTAGTTAGTTCTGATTTTGAGAATGTTTTTTATAACACAGTTCTTCATTTGCCTGCATATTTATTTTTTCAATCAAAACTGCTTCAAGAGTTTTAAGACCTAAATTTGGTCGAAATTCCGTCTGATTTTTTTTAACAATAGAAAAAATTCTTTCGCAAGCTGCATTTGAATGAGGTATTATTAAGACGCAAGCATTACAGAAGGCAATACTTTGTATTTAATACACCCATTCATATTTTTTAATTTGGCAATTTTCTCCCATGCTATATCAATACGCAAATCTACAATTTCTTTCAAATCATCTACTTGATACATGGAAAATTCAATTTACTACTTGATTAAGATATTTTTCATCAATAATGGATGGAAAAAGTATTTCATCAAGTAAGAACAGATGAAAATTAAGACTTCAGTTCTCAAGTTGATGTCATCAACTTCAGCATGTTTTAGAAATGGATTCACTTCAGTGGAAATTTTATCAATTATATCTATGAAGCATGCAGTTAAAAAAGCTCGCAGAGACTTGAAAAATGATTTCACTTCCACTTTCATTTAAACTTGGCATTTTTTAAATATATTCTTTTTTTCCGCACCAATCACTAAATTTTCATTTTCTTTTTGTTTTATACTTCTGAAATGGAATAGATGTTAGAGTAAAATTCTTCATTTTCCTTTAGAAATTACTGATGGTTTTATGAATCTAACAAATAAATTCATTAAAAGTTCAAACAAGTTCTCTTCTCAATTTATGTATATAAGGAGCTTACGGTTGAAACAACGAAATATGGAGAATATTCGACTGTTATAAACCAAAGGCAAAGTATTTTTCAACATTCACATAGTACACTTGGTGTTCGGTGACTGTAAAATTTTTTTTAATGTTTTGCAATCTCTTTCCTTCATTCTCACTGTTTCTCTGGTTTATCTCAAAAAAATTTATCACAGCATCCCACTGTTCCAAAATCCTTGTTATAGATTCTAAAGAGACAACCATCTCGTACTGCAATATTTCAAAATTTTATGAGATTTTGCATTCTGTCCCAAAATTTGTTGAGCAACTTTGAAGCTATGCTTCCGTTTCGAACTTTTCTTCTCCAAGTAAAAATATATCTATTATCAACATTTCAATTTTTGAGCCAATTAATTTTTCAGTAGCTTTTTTTGCAGCTATATGCAAGAGGTGGCACGGACACCTCGGGTGATTATACTTGGTTGATGCATTTTGATAAATGATGCTACACCTTTAAACTTTCCAATCATATTACTAGCATTATCTGAAGAAAATGATAAGCAATTTTTTCCATTCTAAACCTTTGCTTTTAAAAGTTTTCATTTATACAATTAAAAAATACCTTCTCCAGTATTATTTCGTGCATTCTAAAATAGATATCAGGGAAGTAATTTCCACTCCCTTTTTCTTTACTCTAGTTGCTATAACCAATGGGTACAGTTTTTGTTATCATTACTTCCATTACAGCACATCAGTACTTAGAGAACATGATGTATTGCACACTGATTTTATAGTATCGGCAACAGTACTTTCTGCAGCGTTTTCACAATAGCAGCAGTTTTGGTATGGCTGCAGCTAAATTTTTTTGCTATGGCAGAATCCGGAAACATTGCTTTGAAAAGCTCTTTGGAATGATCCGAAACAGAAAGCGGTAGATTATGTTCAATTAAAAAACAAACAAAATGCATTTGGCTTTTATAGGATCTGTTTCATCATCTTTATTAAGAAATTTGTTATTTCTTTAGATTTTACGGTGCCAAGTTTCTATATGCTTTTGAGAAAACACATGCCGTTTGCAGTCATCTTTTCCACCATGAGCAACTGGAAGTCTTTGTTGCATACACTGCAGTGTGCGTGATTCACAGAATTTCGGACGCTTTAATGCATGGAAATTCTGAAGAATATGAATCTTTAAACTTCTGCTTTGATAATTTTGGCTTCTTCGTTCGAGGCAGCATTATGATTAAAAATCTTTCACCTGATTCACATTCACAAGACACACGCTAAGCTCTCGCCGTAAACTACACAATGCAGCCGAATGCAGCCTAACACGCATCAGCGAGGAACCTGGGAGACAGACAATTGGGTGGAACTATTGATAAGTCGTAACGGTTGGATTTACTGTCTACGATTGGCTAATTCTTCAAAACTAGGAACCACTCAACACGTGATATAGATAACACGATCACGAAAAAGACCCCCCCCCCCCCACCCCCCCCCCCCCCCTCCCCCCCCCCCCCCTCCCCCCCCCCAATCCCCCCCCCTCATATTCATCCAATCATGGATGAATTAGTTGGTTCCGTTTTGTGTACTGGTTCTCCGCTCTCTTGTTTCTGTAAAATCCGTAGTTTTTTCCATACTTTTCGTAGCTCGTAGTTTTTCATGAATTTCCGTAGAAACTACGGAGAATCCGTAGTACTTGGAGTCTATGTAGCAGTCACTACTACTGTTGCGGACAAGCTGGGGCCACGCGACATCACAACTGTTATGATGGATCTTCCAGTGATTCTTTCATTTTGAAGAAATCATACTTACACAGACTAATATCTGGTCAGTATGATGGATATTCCAGTGCCTACCATTGCCATCGTCGTATAGGATACGTGAGATGATGTGATTCGTCTCCAACAAGTGTAGTCTTGTTTTTTACAATATTTCAAGGACTAGTTGCAATTCTGTTGCACAGAGGATATTCTAGAGAAACTGTACTTTTTTAAATTTGATGGCATTTGCGAATGCTCATAAAAGAAACGTGTAATTAAGAATAAAATATAATGTGACTTTGTAGATGAGCAGCCTATTGCTAATAAACAACGTTTTACACTGTTAAGAATCAGAGCATAAAAATTACTGACGTTTGAAAAATATGAGTAACAAAAAGCGTCTACATTAAATTATACTCAAGCATAAAGACGAAAATAGACACATACAAGAAATGCCGATTTACACAAAGCTCGAACTGTACGGTTGTTAAGTTAGTTAAAGCAGCGAAATAGATTTCGAACAGTCCTCATGAAGTTTACAACTTTCCACGATGCCACTACTTTAAAATTACCTCTATTCCTCCACGTGAGCATACGTTTCCTACTAATGATTATTCTGAGCAGTCGTGTAACTCGAGGAAAGTAATTTTCAAAATACCACTCGGAACAAGATCTATAAATTTCGTTTGCTTTTCCATCTGCCATGGAAAACTATGAAACTCAAATCTCAGTTTGATATAACTCATATTTTGTTACGAAAAGATTACTTGTCTTTACTTAAAGATTATTTGTCCTTACTAATAACGAAGTAACATTTCTAACTGCTGCAATTTACACTCTGGCAATTTATTGAAATAAAACAAGAACCTCCTGTTTACTGATTGTGCAATACCAGCAATCCATTAAATATGCTACTGGAAATTAAAAAAAGTTTTTATGTTTTTGAGGGTTTTATAAATTTATATATTATCTTAGTTGGAATTAAATATGCATACCTTTTAAAATAAACAAATGAAATATTAAAATCATGGAAGGGAGTAAAACGCTGAACTTGTTTGCTGCTGCATTTTCAAATGATTTTTTATCTGAAAGTTATTCACAGAAATTTCACAGTCTGAATCCTAAAACTATGGATGTTATCCTAAACTTAGGTGGGTAACTAAGGAAACAAATTATGAGGCTAGTTCATTTATAATATTTAATCTTTGTACAATACATAATCTATCAGTAAATTCTAATCTACTAAAGTAATCCATAAACTTAAAGCTATAAAATATTTTACATAAAAAATTATGCTAACATTTCTATCTTTTAATATGTAGGGTACTGGTGTATTTAGAAAAACCTCATTTCTATCTTTTAATACGTACGGTTCTGTTGTACTTAGAAAAGCTTGTGTCAATGTCCTGCAAACCCTATTAGAGTGGAAGTGAGTTATTGCTTTAGTTTGTAACAAATGACCAAGTCATCCGAAGGTTGAAATAAACTTTTTATTTGAGTCTTAACAGAAAGCATTGCTTGTGCGACAAACGAACCTCTGCTACTTGTGGGTATATAAATTCATATAAGATAATGTAATTGAAGACATAAACACACTATTTAAGCTGGCTCAAGATAATAACGGCGCGTATTCATCAGCTGGCAAAGATCCGAAAGGCGAATATAAATTAGAGCTGACGATAGTAAGAAGCATCAACATAAAGATGAAAGAAGTTATAGCTCTACACATTCAAAACCATCGGCTTAAAAATACAAGCAATTTATTTGAATGCTGGTGAGGACTACGAAAAGAAGTTACAGTAAATGTCAGATGCTGGTTAATTAACTGGTTATTAACATAAAACCTCATTGATATTTTTCTTCTTAATTCAAACAACTTGCATATACTTTGCTTTTGAAACATTTAGTAGAAATGAAAACTTTGAATACTCTTAATTTTTAAAATATTTTATAAGAATGAAAGCTTTTAAACGAAATTTAAAAATAAGAAACTGTAACACAAACCAGCCATTTCATTTGGGTGCGGTCTATGCCCTTTTCCAGGAAAAACAATGCAATCCACAACATGATGCAACTCGGGCACATCAACAGCAATGAACTTCCTCACATCCCCTGGTAAAAGGCACGGGTTTTTCGTCACAACCACTTCACCTGCAATTAAAAAATATTTCCAGAACAAATTTTATGGATTCCTTATTTTATACCATTCATTAATTTCTACCGCTAGTTATTCTGGAATTAAATAATAAATATATAACTTGTTTAAATTTCCATATCAGAGTCTGACTTGCCAAACTTGGCAGAACCCACATATGGCTGCCTACATCCACGGAGAGCTAGACAATAGGCAGTTAGTAACACCATGCACTGAATTTGCCGGTGCAGTTTAAAACTTCAATAGTGGACTGGACGTCTTCATCATAGACTACCAGTGGGTATTACAGTGGAACAATGAAGATTGGTAAAATTGCGGGTAACTGACAGTCGCAGGATACAATTTAGTTCACACAGGATGGTGCATAATGAAGTATAAGAAACCCTGAAACTCGGTCATCGAAAAACGAAATTAAAATAATAATAATAATAATAAATAAATAAATAAATAAATTCTGGAAGCTTTCACATTTTATATTACGCCCAAAGAGGCGTTTTTTCAACGTTTCATGTGTTACCTTTATATATTAAATATCATGTTCTTCGTACTTAAACCATAAAATTCAATTCAGCTGTACTATCACAAAATATTTAAAGAGAGCATAATCTTAAATTTCCGATACACAGTCTCGCGTGCTAGAGATAAAAACTCCCCCCCCCCCTCTATACAGTGTTGTCATGTCTCGCTTTGAAATTGTTCAGTTTGTTAATTAAAACTTCGTTAAACTTTTACAAAATATGAAATAGACTATGAAACAAACTCCAAATTTGGGCTTCCAGATGCCCGTATTCTAGTAGAGGATTACGTTATTCATAATTTAATGTCTCTAGGTGCCGCTGTTTTCTCCACAATGCGAGAAACATAAATACCTTCGTTCAGATTCTTCATTATTTCTTTAAATGTAATGCAGGGCACTAATATTTGGTAGCAACAATTTGAAGAGTGATACACCGTTTTACAGTGGACGACGCAAAATACCAAAACGAAATTAATAGGCCTTCTGGGCAAACTGCCCTCCTTTTTTTCTCTCTGTTGTTTATACAGTCAATACTTCGAAATAGTATAAGAAAACGGATGTTTGGGATTCCGTAATATAAGTTTTCTGTATTTGACTTGGTCAACAATTCCTTTACTTATTTATTTTACCAATATTGATTTATTTGACCATTTCTCAGGGATATGTTATGTACCTATTTAACATTCTGTAAATAATAATTAAAGGCCTAAGCTATAGCACTTAAAATTCGCAGTTGTAATATGTTCTTCATAAAAAGAAAATGAGAACAAAGAGAAACGGAACTTTTAATTTCATTCCGAGTTAGATAGCGCACTTCTGTTTGCTTGCGCAGTTCTTGCTATTTCGCTTAAAATAATCTTGTTTTTCCAAGCTAATGGGAAGTTCTTGAACCAGTCGTATGGTAAACAGCATGTAAATTTTAAGACATATTTCAAGGTGTAATTTTATCTGTATATACACTGCTCAAAATAATTAGAGGATATTGTGAGTTCGGTACAAAGTAACCATATAATCGACAACCTTTTTAATAAAAATTATATAAAATGTTAAAAAAAAGGTTAAAAAGGAAAATTATAACGTTAAGAATGTTAGGAATACACATATTTTGACTCAAAAACTATGCATTTTAACATAAGGCGTGTAAAGTGACATGCAATATTCCTTCTATAGGAGAAAATTCAAAACAATTGACATGCGTTAAATGTACGAATTACGACGTCTCAGCAAGATGACTTAGCTGATTCGGTAGCCTGGGGGGCGCATCGGTTGTTTAGGAGGCGGGTCAAAAGCAATCCGCTCTAGTGGAAACGTTAGGAGTTTCTCTCAAATAATGTAATCGGATTTCGGGAAACTGGAAATGTTCGCCGAAAGAGTGACAAGGTCGCACACCTGCAACAACACAAAATGAGGATAGGTATTTAATACTAACGGCCAGAAAAAATCGAACTATGAGTGCCACTCTCTTGCAACAGCACCTTTAGAAGGCTATTGATACCAGAGTTTCGACTCAAACTATTTGATACCAACTCCACCATGTGGGTTTGTATGCTCGCAGTATAGTTTGTGTTTTCATTAACACATGGACCGCGTTGTCCGTGCTATCCGCCGAAAGAATCCATAGGAGTTCAATACCCTCTTAATAGAGTATTCGCTACTTTTATTTTATGTTCCCAAATGCCAAAATGTTTTAAATAAAATAAATTTTTTCACATCCACATATTATTGTAACATGTACTTTTTAAAATTTTTTAGAGGAAAGAATTTACTGTTGCTCATTTTAAACTTATTATTCTATTTTTATATATCTGAAAAATAATCACTTTGGGCTTACACGTTTTACTTATTTAGGTTAACTAAAAATAAAATTAACATCAAATGCTTCAATCCTCTTCAAAATTAATAAATATACACACAGATATGCCATTAAGTTAACTTTTCTTTGATTTGCAACCACACAAACGTGTAAAATTATGTAAAGTAAAATTATGTACAGAAATTTGTGGAATAGATGACGGATACATTTGCGAATTCGGCAGAAGTACCACGTGAACAGCTTAATCACAAAGCCTACAGACCGTTTCTGCTGCTGTTTGCTCCGATTGGTTAAAACAGGAAACGTAGGGTTTCAGAATCTAGTGCTTGGCTGGCGACTTTTGGTTCATCGCCTTTACAATTTGTATTTCAGCGGTACCAAAAAGTGGGCATAATCCATTGGAGAAATCGCAGCTCAGCGGTAACGAGCGCGGTACAAATTCTCAGGCTTGGAGATCGCCGGTTCTATCCCCGTTCGTAGCTTTCATAAACTCTGCTTTGCACGGATTTATTTTTATTCTATTCTAACTTTATTGAATGATTTTGTTTTTTCGCCTTCGGGTGTGGTGTTAAAAATTAAACGCCTTTATTTTTTCTATTTTTGTTAATTTTAATTTTTCTTAATTTTATTTACTGGTACTCATTGTAGTAGGTACCAGTAGCAAGATTACTATCCAAGATCCCGAAAAGCATTTCAATAGAAATAGCGCATAATCGAATAAAATATAATTTTAGTTATACTTACTCATAATTTAGGTAAAAAGAATAGGTATCCGACGCCCTTAAATGTTTACTGAATGTTTTCCTTTGGTTAATTTTTCCATATTCCTTTATTTGTATAAATTAATGCGCTATGGAAATTTACACAACAATCTTTCTAACAGAAATGACGAAAAAGTGCATATGCTATCTCCATAACACCCTTTTTCTTGTAAAACCATTACGTATACGTACTTTTAAAAGTTTAAATTCAAATACAAATAAACTATAAATTAAGATCAGTAGGTTATTTAAAAGTATATTCCACACAATTCCTCTAAGCTTTCATTCGTAAACTAAAAAAATATCGAATCAAATAAACGCTGTTTCCGTTTGTTTTGCGTTAATTACCACGCCTACAGGGCGATAACTCGCCATTCCAAATATGACCGCCAATCAAGCAGATGTTTCCTCCAATGAGAGCAGCCCGTAGAGAAATGGTCTGTAGGCTTTGTGAATATGCACGTGAACGTGCCACATCATCAAGACAGCTTATTAAGAATTTAAAAATGGGGGTAATCGACGGAGGTGAAAACATTTGTGTATCCTTTGCCAAAGGGAAGTCCGACTATGAACGGTCTTCTTATTGATTCCAGATTGTTAAATGTTTCCCACGAAAGTCTTTTGTTCTCGGAAATTTGAGGTTTATGCTCGCTTCTTAACGTGCGCAGGTCTCATTCACAGACAAAGAATGGCTAACTGGAGCTTACTACAATATTTGCTCTCAAATTGTGATTAAAAAGTGGCGACATTTTCGATTCTCAATTAAATAGAGTAAGGCATGCAAGGGCTATCTGCCTAAAGGGAGAGATGCCATCGTGGAGGAATTTCGAAGAAAAACTGACCTTTGAGTGGGTATTAAACAAAACGCATATAATTTTCTTTCAAATTATATTTATACATATTTCTTATGTAAAACTTTTGGGTATATGTTAAATTAGTGTAAATTACTTTACTCGAAAAATATAGTGAATGCACAGAAATTAAAGATTTGCACATGCCGTAAATGAAAAATATGAAATACGTATTTACGCATGTGCTTGCAAAAAGCATGTATCTGCCTTTAACGTAAATATTTATTAAATTATTTATAAATGTAATTGAAATGAAGGATTTATTCATTCATAAACAACTGTGAAAGTTACTGTGAAGAAATTTAATTATTAAAGGTATCTAAATTTATAATGATTATAATTATCTAAATATATAATAACCTTAACATTGAATTGTAAACATAAATTGAAATCCTGTTGACAAATACCTTATATAACATTTTAAACAAGAATTGTTCGTACTGAAAACCAATCTGTTAAAAGGTATTATAAAGCAAATTCTATGAGATGCGTACTTAAGAAAATAATAAAGAAGAGTTTTGGAATATGTATTGTTGAAATTAAGGGTAAAAAAATCTGATAAGTATAATTAAAAGAATTATTCCCCTTACATTTTATAATAACTCAGTTACAAGTTTTAAATAATACTTTAAAAAAATCCTTATTTATTCCCTTTTAGAAATGTTCAGAGAAAATTAAGTACTATTTAAAAGTTAAGTATTTCGCTAATTTCTAATAATTCTCTAATTTAAAATGAACTGAATAGAGCATTAATTATAAACTGACTTATATTTTTCGATTTAAAAGATGCCTCAGAAGCCAAAAAATCATATCATATTTAAGAAGGAAGAAGCTCTATAAATAGAAAAGAAATAATGCATAATTTTAATATTAATAATACAATAAACTTTGATCTTAATTTTTGTACCTTAACCGAATAAAATCGAATTACCTTAACTTTTTTTCTAATGTAATTAACGAAAACTTGTGAAAATATTTCATTCAAATTAAACCGTTCTGAAAAAACTCTTCTGCGAAAAGTATAGCATTTAATTCCGTTCAGAACGAAATGCTG